ATATATTTTATACAGACACTGCTAGATAATGGAATATCAGCTTTCACTGCAGTGTTTCCTACATATGGATGCAATGTGACTAGTTGCCTGATATTCCTACTCTCAGGCTTTCTTTCCTTGGTGGACCTAAACTTTCAAACAATGAGTTAAAAATAAACTGCTTCCTTGACACTATATATATATATATATATATATTGCATTTTAGAGTATTCCATTCGTGATTTTTCCTTAATAAAGACAGAGGAAAATGTCAGTTTCCTCTGCTAAGTTTCAGTGGACAGTATTAATGGAAAATGATGGAGATTAACAGTTCATAATTTTTAATGATATGCTGTCCATTATAATATGATGAAAAATGAATGCTCTCTGTGTCCATCTTACAAGAGATTTGAATATCTATGTTGCCTAACATTCCCACAATCTATTGACTGCCCCCTCTATAGGTTGCTCTTCAGCTATCTAGACAACCAAATTCCTTCTTGTGCTTTTTAAGTCTATTTGAGTGAGTTTCAGGTATCGTCAAATGAGGCTTAGAGAGCAGGCTAAAGATATCTCACATTTCCTGAGTGTGTCATCTTACTTTCTGTGAAATAGCTGCTGTAATAGTTCTCATGATCAAAAGTAGGAAGGTGATATATATTTGATATATATTCTGGTAAATTTTTGAGAAAATAGCACTTGATGACTTTAAACTATATTAACTTTATTAAATTATTATTACAACTAACTGCCATTGTTATTTACTGTTTATATTTATTGCACCTAATTTTAAAGTGAAACTTCACCACATACAAATTTTTGTGGAAGAAAATGCAACACTATAGATTTTTGGTGTCACCTTTGTTTTCAGGGATCTCTGAGGCATTGAATTGTATTCTCCTGTAGGAGAGACTATATATATATATTTCTTGGAATATATATATTCCAAGAAAGGGAAAAGGAATTCATGTGCAAACACACATGTGTGCCTGTGTGCATACACACACAGAGACAGAGTAGGAATCAACTGATATCAAAAACCAAATATAAAAACAAGACAATGAAGCCAAAACATGGTCCTTGTAATGGAGTGATAAAAATAAAAAGTCCATTAGCCAACTTAAAAATGAAGAAAGGGACATATGTCATTAGTATGAGAAATTAATGAGGAGGCATGCTATACATGCCAATAAAATTTAGAGAGAAACAATGAATGTTGTGAATAACTCCAGCCACACATATTGATAGTCCAGAGCAAAACAGCCATCTTTTAAATACAAAGCATTTACAATTACATTTCCAATGGTTTTCAAATAGTCCACCTTTAACCTACAAAAATCTAAGCTGGAATTACACATAAATCCAATCCATTCCATAAAAGTCAAATGGTAGGTATGAATTAATGTACTCTACATTTTCACCTTTCCCATGAGTATGTTCAGGAGGAATCAGTGGTCACCATCAGCCTCCACATCATGGCTCTGAGAAAATTAGTCATGGACAGGTCTGGGCAATTATTGTATTTTTAATGAGTTATTCTGGATCTGGGATCCTCTGGGATGCAGAGTCCCTGGGTCCAGAGATGGCTAGAAAGGAACAGACATATAAGAAAGTGTTAATGACGGAGGCTGTTCTTTCATGTGCTTATAATAAATAAAGGTGACCAGGGTCGGAGGCAGCAAACTTAATACATCCTGAGTCATCCTAGGAAAATTGTCAGGAGGTAGCTTACTGTTCTCCAAATTATAAATCTTGCATTTCCAGTTTTGTGAGAGTATGACTGGCAGTTTTCAGGTATGACAACATTTTTTCCATTTGCATACTTTGCAATGCACTGTCATATTATAGAAATGCCTTGTTTCACAGTTACATTGATAATCATTTTGATAATCAATTTAATGACAATTACTTACAGGGGAATCCTTTATCAATTTGAACCTCATAACAGTTATTTAGATTGTAGGGGCAATGCTAGAGCTCTTAAATCTTCTTTAAAAACATGTTTAGATTTGGAACATTAGTAAACATTGAACAGATCTCCTATAAAAAAAAAAGAGCTCAGAAATCTGTTAACTTCCAATAGTGCATGTATTTGTTACTTACTACAACCTATCAACCACAGTATTGACATCACCTGAGTGTTCATTTTTATATTACTTTCAAAGCCAGAGTAAGTGTTTTCCGAGAATCCCAGGTGGATTGTACATATATTAACTCATTGGTACATTTCAATGAAGATTCTCATCAGCTATTCAGTTCAATAACTGTGACTTTAAAAATTGAAGAAGCAAAGTCCATTAGTTCCTCAGCAACAATCTTCATAGGCCATCTCTGCTTGTAATCACTGCACGTAAGCCTCTGTAAGTCATGGATCCCACTCACTCACAGAATCAGAATAATTCTGAGAAACTGGGTGCACAATTTCACCTCTATTGCTCTTCCCTTTGTAAACAAACATAACATTCAAGTGTTAAACTATCAATGCAGCTACAGTAATGACCATCAGAAAGATGGAGACACCAGCAGCTGGACTCAGTCAGACAGTGTCATGGAAGGATTTCCCACCTCTCTGTGAGCAGTTCATTTTCTTCTATTTTTTTCAGTTTGATGTGGAAGTCAGGACCTTGGGCATGCTAGATAAATACAGTACCACTGTAATAAATGCCCAGGCAATGCCCCCAAATCTCTTTGTGTTTCTCCTTGACTTCTTTGCGTGTTATGACATATACTTGGCTTCATAAGACAACGTTATCTAGAAGAAAACAGAACAAGAAAATGAACTGTTTTAAAGATACAGCCCACACAATTGGGAATCGATAAGAACAATAGGTGCAGAATGCAATCTCTAAAATTTATGCTACTTATGGCAACTTACTATATGAGTCTCATCACACAATGAAGGGTTAGACTTGCTTAACTATGGTTTAAAGTTTATTACAACTTGAAAGTTAATAACAATATTAATCACATTCGTAAAAATATCTATAACTATATTTTAAATAAAATTAATCTCAGGACCTAGAACAGTTCCTGTAATAATTACATATAAAGTTAGTTATGGATATCCAAAGATGAACAACAGGGAAGGATACAGATAGCTGCTATTTCATAAAATGTTCATCATATATGTTTTCCTACATTACTATAAGTGGAATCATATGAATTGAAGCCTAATATTTGTGAGTCATTAGTTTTATTGAAAAGAACGTTGCATATTACCCACCTTAGTACTTTCCAGGAAAGTATACAGATACATCTGTAAAGCTACTATTAGACTATCAATTTTTCATGCTAAAAGGAAAAGTTTAGAGATTATATTCTGGGGAGATTGAAGAAGAATAATTATTTGGATTTGATGTGAATTTGTGTTTTAAATTTGAAAGTGTCTTTGCTTCAGGGAATACTACACCAAATTCAGAAAATCTTCATGGATACTCAGTCATATCTGGTAGGACTGGCCTTGCTGCAGTATGAGGGATGGCATGGACTTTCATGCATGAACTTATATCCTTGCAAAAATAGCTGCGAACGAGTAATCAGGCCCATTAGTAGCTGTGAAACGGGTACAGGAAGGAAGATTATACCAGGTGTTAATGTGTTTAGAGACACAATGAAGGTTCAGCTTAGCATATGGCTTATCATATTGTGGAAACATAAGTGGGACAACACACACCACAGAGGAGAGCACATAGTAGGTACTGTTAACATCAAACCAGAAATGTTGGAGGTGCAAACTTCAATTGAAGTATAACATTGCTGAAAAAGAAGAATGCAGGTAACATGTGAGTTAAGTAATGTGTTATAAAACATGATACAAGTTTGTTAATTAAGCATCATTTGTGCATCTGATAGTAATTTTGCCCTTAAGAACAAGATGGACATGTGAGGATAGAATCAGGAAAGAGAAGACTGTAATTGCATCTCAGAATGCCAATGGGGGTTAAACATATTGAAGAAAATAGAACTTAGACATTGGTCATGGGTGGTAATTGAATGCTAACTTTATTTTTTCAGGCATAAAATGATGGCATCCATTTCTAAGAATATAAATAAAGGGTTTTAAATAAAAGGATAAGAAAAAGGATGAAGATGACAATCTAAATGCTGTACTAGACTAGATTTTGAGGTAAAAAAGAAAAGTGCAATAAAAAATCATATAATAGATTGTGAATTAATTTTATTATATTATGAGAGGCAAGAGACAGGGAGACAGAAAACGCTGGAAGAGAAAGGAGCTAATTTCTCTTGGCATCCATTGGGCCACAGATGTCCTTAGGGAGAAATACATATAAAATGATTAGTCAGAAATGGCATAATTAATTCTGTAGGTTAGAGAGACAGATATTACTAATTTTTAATTGGAAAGCCAGCACATTAAGGTATATATGCTTTTCTTTTGTCTCATATAGAAGTAAGAGGATAGGCTGTATAAAATTCCTTTAATAAAATTCACAAAACACCTATAGAATAGATAAAACAGATAGGCTGCGGTTGCCTAGAGTAAGAAGGCAGAAAGGAAAGAGATATGCAAATGCATTGTGCATATCACAAGCAATTAGTAGTTATTAGTACTAATAATAGTCAATTATTAGAGCATGTTAACACAAAATAAAAAGAAGACACTCATATTTATAATGACTAAAATATTTGGATGTAGAGATTGCAATAATTTTGATGAGAGCAAGATTAACTTCTAAAGAACATGCAGCATACCATGTGTGTCACAGAAACATATCTGTGTTCACAAGAATGTGGAGATGAATTGAGGGAGTGTCTGCGGTATAGATAAGACTGGTTTAGCATGTCATAAACTACTGAGGACAACTAAAGAAGTTAAGGGATCCAGATTATTTCATGCCATAGTGAAGCAAAGAATATAAAAATTACAGAAAATAAAAAATTCTCCCTTCTAAAGTAAACAAATGAGTTCGAAGAGTAGAATTCATTTATCTCATATAGGCTCAATCATGTGGAATATATGAAATGATTGATTATTTTATTAAAAGATTTGAAGGCAGATTATGACTGGAAGAAACCAAACTGTCATCTCCCAGTTCCTCCTCCTCGACCTGCCCATCCCCCCAGAGTACCAGCACCTCTTCTATGCTCTGTTCCTGGCCATGTACCTCACCACTGTCCTGGGAAACCTCATCATCATCATTCTCATTCTCCTGGACTCCCATCTCCACACACCCATGTACTTGTTTCTCAGCAACTTGTCCTTCTCTGACCTCTGCTTCTCCTCTGTCACAATGCCCAAATTCCTGCAGAACATGCAGAGCCAAGATCCATCCATCCCCTATGCAGATTGTCTGACACAAATGTACTTTTTATCGTTCTTTGGAGACATGGAGTGCTTCCTTCTTGTGGTCATGGCCTATGACCACTATGTGGCCATCTGCTTCCCCCTTCATTATACCAGCATCATGAGCCCCAAGCTCTGTGCTTGTCTTTTGCTGCCATTGTGGATGCTGACCACATTCCATGCTATGCTGCACACCCTGCTTCTGGCTAGACTGTCTTTTTGTGAAAATAACATAATTCTCCATTTTTTCTGTGACATATCTGCTCTCCTGAATCTTGCATGCTCAGAAACTTATGTTAACTAGTTAATGATATTTATCATGAGTGGACTCATTGGTATTATTCCATTCATACTCATTGTTATGTCCTATGCAAGGATTGTCTTTTCTATTCTCAATGTTCCATCTACCCAAGGAATACACAAGGTCTTCTCCACCTGTGGCTCCCACCTGTCTGTTGTCTCACTGTTCTATGGCACAATTATTGGTCTCTACTTCTGTCCATCAGCTAACAACTCTACTGTAAAGGAAATAACCATGGCTATGATGTATACAGTGGTGACTCCCATGCTGAATCCCTTCATCTATAGCCTGAGGAACAGAGACATTAAGGAAGCCCTGAGAAGAGTTCTCTGCAATAAGAAAATCTCTTTGTAATGGTATCTTTGGGGATTTTTCACTAATTTATATAATAAATGTAAAGATAATGTTTTATGTCAGAGGTTGTTGCTCATCATAGAATCTGCATGAAAGGGTATGCTACATAACTAAGTGCTCAATAAATAAGGGAGAAGATGTGCAGTGCAATACTCAAAGTAGGAAAGATTGTCTTTAATAACTTGCAAAAATTATCCCAGAAGGGCCTAGTGCAAGAGATTCTGTTTAATGTGATCTCGATTTCTTACCTTCTGAAGTTGCTGCAACATCTTATCATTTACCCTGAGTTCTGCATTCATTTATGTATCAATTAAAATAGTTTAATAGATTTATGATTCTCATTAACAATGAAATATCCCTACTAACAAACTTCCTCCTCCTCTTTACTACAGGTTCTCCCACACTGATTTTGAAATCATTTTTCTATTAACTCTCTCTTATTGTTTTCATGTCTTTGTTATTTTTCCTGACTACTCTTGACTATAAACAAATTTGGGGTAATCATTTTGTACAACAGTACCATTTGTGTAATTTGACCTTAAAATGAAGTTGACTAATAGCTAGTGACCTTTCTTTTACTTATCTAAATGAGGAAAAGATATAATAAATCTATGGGAATACCTCATATATGTTTCATATTCTATTTTGTAAAATTTCTGTTAATAGTAGGTGACTTTATTTTATCCTGAGACAATCTCAAGGAGATAGGGAAGATGCCGTATCACTTACTTATTATTGTGAAGTTGAGAGACCACCCATCTCACATGAAGGGGGAATGGTTGAGCATGGATTAAATCCTAGGCCAAATTCCACTCTTTTGTCTCATTTATTTACTTTAGAAAAGAAATTTTCTTTAAATTTCCATCATGTCAGTGTGACTTTCTGCTTTGAAAGTAGGATCTGCATTTATAATTTAGGCACAGGGTGATAAACTTTAACCTGAACGCTCCAAACACTTTCAAGAAATATGTTGAAGATGTCAGTGTGAATGACTTCAAAGTTTAATCTTAACATTACTCTGTAAATCAATATGTACAAACACATATAAATCATAGATACAATTAATTATATATCCACAATATGAAAACAGCAACCTCCTTTCCTAGCTGTACTGCTATGTGGATAAAGTAACACTCTCTGTGCTGTTCAAGGTACAAAAAAAGCCTTAAAAAATTTAAAGAATAGTTTCAAAACTAAAATTCAAATATTGCACAAAATAATGTAACTGTAAATCTAACTACATACTATAAAGAATTTTTAGAAAAGTTTTTTACACTCTACAGCAAATTTCATTTTCTAACTCTATAAAATAATTTATTGGAAGTCTGCACTTATATATTAAGTGTTTACATTCAGTTTGATGGGTATAAATTTCACAAGTTAACTGAGCCTTGTCTTAGAAGCTCATCTATTTGAGTTTTATGCATATTTTTTTACATCTTCAATCTGTGATAATTAAGTATTTAAACACAAAAAATAGATACTATATACAGTAGCAATGACTTAAGGTACAAGAACTATAGGAAAGAAAAAAAAGCTCTGTTGAGCAACATAAAGGAGTACACTGCCAACATATAACTTAGAATGCACAGCTTTTTAAACATATATTAAAATTTTAACTGATACAGAAATCATACAATTGTATTAGCATAGCACAATGTGATAAATACAATATTTAATGAAGATGGACTATGTCAGAGTAGAAAATTATATAAAGAGAAGAGAAGAAACAAGACTGGTTAACTGAGAACTTAACAAAAATTTAGAAGTCAGTCAAGTGTGATGAATCATTTCTGTGATCCCAGCATTCATGAGGTTTTGGCAGAAGCATCAATACAAGTGTGAAGTCAACTCAAACTGCACAGTGAAACCCTGTGAGGTCAGCATAGCCACACAGTGTGACCCTGGGGAGTCAGTTCAGGTGGCAAAGCAATTCAGTGTGTGAAGGAATATTGCTGTGACCTCAGCATGAGAAAGAGTTGCCAACCAGCATGGAGGAAGCAAAATGGGCTGTAAAGAGAGACGAGATATCGAACCATATGACAAAACATAGATTAAAAGACATAGATTAATTTAAGTTACAAAGATTAGTCAGGAACAAACCAAGTGTAAAATCAAGCTTTCATAATTACACTAAGTCTCCATGTCATTACTTGTGAGCTGCCAGCCCAGAGAAAAATCCATCTACATATGGTGTCCAGTGTGGAGGAATTAATATCAAACCATAGGGCTTGAGAAAGCTAAGTAAAGTTCTGGACAACATTCAGGTGTGATTTCCTAGTCCTACAGTCTCTCAGGTGAGCTGTTATCTGGCATACACAGGCACAGGTACTGCAGGTTTGAGCCAGTTGTCATCGCCATGCACCAATGACATGCACTGAGCTGAGTCACACAGTGGCAAACGTGGCCGTCTAAGATTTGACTCACATGGTCAGAGAAGGCTACAGGAGTGCTGAAAAGTGGTTCAGACCTAGAAAACCATTTAACATTTATAGTAAAAAGTGGGTAAAGACAGTCTTATAAAGACAGGTGATAGTAATATATACTAATTAAAATAGTATAACCCATTTTAAAAATAGTTTAAAAATAATGATGTCTTTAAAGAGAGAGTTTTTCCTGGGCTCCAGGAAACCACACCTTAACTAGAACCTACCTCTTAAAGATAATTGGCTAACAAGGCTTCTCCATCAGATATTTTCTCAACTATGTTTATAGCAGCAATATTAATAATATATAGAACCTGGAAACAACCTAGATGCCTCTCAGCCAACGAATGTATAAAGAAAATATGGTAATTTACAAAATGGAGTTCTACGCAGCAGTAGAAAACTATGGCATCTTGAAATTTGCATGCAAATGCATGGAACCAGAAGAAAATATCCTGAGTGAGATAACTCAGACCCAGAAAGACAAACATGGTATGTCCTCACTCATAAGTGAATAGTAGATGTTAAGCAAAGGATAACCAGATGACAGTCCACAGCCCTAGAGAGTCTAGGTATCAAAGAGGACACTAGCAAGGACACATGAATCACCCTTGGAAGGGTAAATAGATTAAGTCTCTTGAGTAAACTGGGCTTGAGAGTAGAGGAGAGGAATTGGAGGATGAGGACAAGAGGGATTGGGATGGATGAGTTTGGAAGGGATAAACAGTGAGAGCAATGAAAGAGATATATTGATAAAAAGGACCATTATGGGATTACGAGAAATCTGGTTCCACAGGAACACCCAGGATTCCACAAGGATGGCCCTAGATAAGACTCCTAGCAATAGTGGAGAGGGTACCTGTCCTGGCCTTCTGTAATCAGATTGGTGACTACCCTAATAATCATCATTGAAACTTTATCCAGTAATTGATGGAAACAAATGCAGAGATCCACGGAAATGCACTGGGTGAAGCTCTAGGAGTCCAGCCAAAAAGAAGGAGGAGGGATTATATAAGTAAAAGTGGTCTATATCTTGATGGGAAAACCCTCAGAGACTGTTGACCCAAGTTTTTCAGAGTTGATAGACTCTAGACCTACAGTTAGGGAGCCTCCACAGGACCTACATAGGCAGTTAGCATGTGGGTGACAGTTGTATGCTTCGTCTGTTTTGGAAGCTCCTAGCACATGACCTGGATTTTGAACCCTCTTTCCTATTGTGGAATACCTCATTCAGCCTTGATGTCATGGGGAGGAGCTTGATCCGGCCTCAGCTTTCTTGTCATGTGATGCTGACCCCTATGGGAGAACGTACCCATTCTGAGGAGTGGATGCAGGTAGAAAGGAAGTGGTGGAAGGGAATGGGAGTAGAGAAGGAAGGGAAAACTATTGTCCCTGTGTGTGGCTCCTTCGTGGTACAACTGAGCTTGGACTTCTTATTCCTCTTGCGTGAGTTTTCCCCTTAAAATAAATAAAAATTAACTGTTTTATCCTTTAGCTAGTCTGTCTATTTTCCAAATTGAGCTAATTTCTATAAATATCTTTGTGGTATGAGTGTTCATCCTCTGATTATATACCCATGGTCTTGAGGTAGATTGATTCCCAGTTTTTGAGAAACCACCATATTGAAATCCAAAGTGTCAGTAGAAGTTTGTGTAATATGAAAAGGCCGAGGTGGCCTGCTTGTTTGTGTTTTCTGTCCCCGCCTGGTACCCCACAACCAGCAGGCCCCAGAGAAAATCAACCACACATATCTCTATTATGTAACATGAAAAGGCTGGGCCTGCTTGTTTGTGTTTCTGTCCTACCCGGCCCCCCAGCTGTTTAGTCCCAGAGAAAAATCACACTGAAATCTCTGTAAGTTATAATGCTGATTGGCCCATTAGGTCAGGCTTCTTACTGGCTAACTCTCACATCTTGATTAACCCATTTTTCTGATCTATGTTAGCCATGTGGCTCAGTACCTTTTTCCGTGGGGTAGCTCACATCCTGCGGCTTCGGTGATCTGGGCAGGAGTGGGAAGAATCAACTTTCTCCTCCCCAGAATTTTCCTGCTCTCCTTGCATCATTTCCACTTCCTGTCTGGTTTTCCCGCCTATACCTCCTGCCTGGCCAATCAGCGTTTATTTAAAAAACATGATTGACAGAATACAGACAATTCTCCCGCACCACTTCCCCCTCTTTTTTTAAAAGAAAAAAAAAAACAAATAAAGGAAAATATCCATAGTCCATTATTTGGGAATGTGGGCATAGTATTCCAGGCTACTTCCAGCTGGTTGGGGGCGCTGATAATTTTATGGGGACCTAAAGAAAAATTTAGAGTTATGATCAAGTCCTGACTGAAGTATCCTGTGAGTCTTGATCATCTCAGGCAGCAGTCTTGAATCTGTTCTGGATGAAGAACTCAGACATCTGGGCCATCTATTCCTACCAGATATTGCTCAGGTGGTCTCCCTTGGTCAAAGATGATTTTTCTTAACTCTGAATAAATCCAGAGCCTCTCGTTTTCTGTGGAAACAAAAGCAAAATCTCTTCTCCAAAGTAACATACCTTTTGACTTCAATTTTGAAGGCAAGG